TTTCTCATTAAAGCTAAAATGATAAATGTTTGGACAGAAACTCAGCTGAGCTAACCTAATGCACAGCCATACACCACATTCACATTTAACCACATTCATCGGTGTTACAGCAGCATATTTCCACCATTTAGTCAATTATCTCTAACTGATAAATGCAAATGTATATTAGCATTTTGACAGCGCTACGCATGTGAACCGTGAAGAGCTGTAGCACAAATGAGCACCGGAACATATTCAGAGCAGCAAGTTTCTATCAGTCAAATAAATAAAAACTGCAGCAAGAAATGGCCAAGGAGACGAAATGTAGTCTGTTACTTAAAAGAGAAGACGCCTCTGTGCGTTAACCGTAATGAGTTATCAAGGCATGCAAACTCAATTTGCTCCTTGAGTAAGGAACATTGTCGCTGTGAGGCATAAACATGAGCTACCTCCCTACGACACAACCCCCCACCCAACGCTTCATGTATTCTCCATGTAAATAATGAAGGACGACCATTTGAGGAGTCATACTTGTCCTAAATCTGGAATATTTTCTTTAGAAAATCAGAGAGGAGTCTGTTTCTGTTTCCTGACACAGATCTTTGAAACCAAACCCAGTGACATTTCCTGCCTGCGTCTGAGCTCCATTATCTGTTGTTAGGCCACTTTCAGCAGCTTCCACCGTGCCCCACGCTGCACCACTGTGTTACACCACTGTACATAAAAATAAGACTGGTTGCATCATTTCCCAGGAGGTTTAAGTGCTGCTAAAACAGTGACATAAATAACTAGATATCTCCTTGAACAAGGCAGAAGAAATAGGCCAAAGCAGCTCAGACTAATTAGTGGGAACACGGTGTAGAAGTTATCTAGTATACAAATTGTTAGTGAAGTTGTAGTCAGTCAGGCGAAATGCATCCAGAACGAGAGGCGTCGATATAAAATAAGCTGTTTCAAAACCAAAAACAAGCAAACGATCCCTGATAGTATCTCTGGAGGACCCGAAGCAGAGATTAGACCAGGCAGCTGGATTCAACAAGGTCTAAATAAAACAATAAAGGAAGGGTTAACTCTGACATAAGGGAGGCGAAATGCAAATATTAGGACAGATGCTGAAAACGAGAAGTAAAGCTCTAAAAGCACAGTGTGAGGTTTAACACAACCCAGTGAAAACAGCGGTCCAGATGCCGCACTGCCAGTTCCAGCCCCTGCACCTGGCAACCACGGAGTTCACGGGCTGATCAGAGCCAGGCCAAGCAGTTTGAACTCGGAGGGGGGGGGGGGGGGGGGGGGGGGGGCTGCATGACAATACGGTGTGTGCACACTATATTTGTGAGAATAGATGCAAAATATTCCAGCTCACTTCAAAGGAAAATGTATGTGCTGACCTGGAACGTCATGCTTGTGGATGGAGACGTAGAGCGTCCGCTGCAGTGTAGATAAAAGTGGTTCTCCATGGACATGATTTGCTTTTACATTAAGAGGCAACATGCCTGCTGCTAAAGCCATGCACCCATGCATAATTACACATGTGATGTGTCAGACACTTGGCCTGTATGGGCCACTTTCCGACCACTTGACTCCAATAAGTCAAGCTGATAATGGACAGGAATGCAGCCGAAGGAAACTAAAGGGTGGAAAACTACAGCAACACAACAAAAGCTTGATGCTAGCTCTCAAAGCAAAACAGCGACTTTTACATTATTATGCTGTAAGTGATGAGGCAGATCACTTTCTGCCTCATTAATGCTGCTGGTTCTCCATCATATCAATAGATCCGCGTTCCAGACTCCCATGTTCTGACGCTTTGCTACATCAACAGTGAGCCAGCTCTGCTCCGAGCCTGTCGAGACCACAGACGACTCCAACAACGGGCCTCGTGTGTGCCCGAAAACCAGTTTGGTTGACGGGAGCCAGTGTATCCTTTCTGGGCCGATGCAGAGCTGAAAACCACCCCGGTGACTTTGACCTCTTCACACAGAACTAAACAAATGTCTTTTTACACTTATTTACATTCTCATTTGCCATTTGCCAATGAAGAACCTCAAATCAGGAAGACTTGTTCTGCAAGAAGCAGCTTTGTAGCAGTAAGTGTATTGAGGAGAGCGCTGCAACACGTACGTCAGCGAGCAATTGGGGTCTAATGGTCAATAGCCTGCGCCATTAAAAGACAATTCCACTGAAGCATGTAAAAACAATTTGTCAGGGATGCTCTCCTCTCTATCTGTCCCATATATCTGAGTCACATGCCTCTGTGTGTGCTAATAATTCCTGGGATCCATTTTACTTGCAGAAGGCATTACATGGGTTTACAGCACTGCATCAACTGAAACAAATCTACGCAATACATAAATCTCTTTTAGCGCCTAGTTTCTGACATTGCTGCACAACAGCAAACAAGTATGTTGGCCCTGAGGTAAGCTGAAATAACAAATAAAACCGATTAGGGCAATGATTGTGGTCTCTGCAACTCTTCTCATCCCCTCAGTCCTCATTTTTCATTTCCTCCTTGCTGCTCTTTACTTAGTGCGGTCCTCGCGCCATCCATCATGCTCCCATCCTCTCCTCCTCTGCATCTTCACCGCCTCCCTTCTTTTCCTCTCCCTGTTGGCAACGCCATGGGGTGGAGGGGTTGGCGTACGGGGGCATCGATCAGGTCCTCATCGCTCAGCACAGCTGTCACTTTTACCCTTCGTTCCCTCTGGTGTCGCACCGTCAGGCTGGCGCTGTCCCCGTCTCCATGGGAAAAGTGGCTTCGTGCCCGGGGTGACTGACAGCTGTGGAGAGGGCGGAGCCAGACACGCCGAGCATCTCGACCTCGTGCTCACCTCTCATTAATGCTGCCGGGTGATTGGTGGGTTGGCATGCTGCCTGTCACTCAAATCACTCAAGAATGTCCTGAATCACTGGACGGCATCAGCGGGCCAGCTAGGTGATTCTAATCTGAGTCCAAACGGTTGCTGATTACCCACACGGGACAGTTCTGTTGTAATGCATGCGCACGAGAACTCGACTGAAGGGGCAGAGCCAGTAAATATCATCCCATCAGTGAGCATCTGATCAACAGAATCTACGCCTTATGCAAACTAACTGCTGTAGAGCAAATAAACAAATCCAGCAGACATCCTGTCAGATATATAACAAATGCATCACACTGCCTGATGATGCAAAACACATCTATCTGCTGTGGTGTGATGACAATAACCAAGTTAAACCCCACTCTGATCTATAAATCAGCTTTTGGCAGTGCAAGAACTCAACATGATGTGATTTAATGTCTGTTTTATGGGTTTAAGTCTCTCCACGGCCAATCAAAAGAAATAAATGTACTAATGTGACAGTTAGGTACTTTGGATGAACTCTTCCTTATTCATTCGACGCCAGCAGGCTGCTTTCAAAGAGCCGATTCTGGTTCTGAAAAGACACGCACAGGTTCTTGTACTCAATTCTAATCGGCACCGGCTGTAACGAGTTAGCCACTTGTTACCTAGTCAGTCATTATGTGACGCGGTGGAGGAAGAGCAGGATGAGGGACAGCTTACTAACAGCCTCCTGGTGTTTACGTTAGGATATGAGACACCACAGGACGAGGGGTGACGGCTCTCTCCTCTACAGCTGAGCAATTCACACACAAACCTGCACAAAGAAACCGAGATGAACAGAAAATAACCCCTGCTGCTGCTGATAGCTCACAAAACTTAACCCCAGCAGCCCAGCCGCCTCCTTTTGGCGAAGCGTCCTGGATCCTTCGCTGCAGCTTAGTGAGACTTGAGGAGGTGCTGTAGCGCTGCCCCCATAAACAACTGCGGAGGCCTCAGTCCCAGATCAACAACCGAACTCAATAACAAGCAACAAGCATGCTGTGTGTCGAGGACCCATCTGGACATCGGCTGAACGCTGCGCTTGTGTTTTCCTGCTTTCCCCGTCTCGTGAATTCCACCTTTGTTTTTGAGCCAATTCTGAATAATTACAAAAGCAAGGGATTTAATCAGAGAGTGGCTGTCTGAAGCGATGTGTGTGTGTTGCTGTGTTTGTGTGCGCTCATGAGGACCCAACATCAAAGTGAATCCGAATATCACAGAGGAACAGCAAAGCCAACATCTAAAGCTCTCCTTTAAAATGACACACACACACACACACACACACACACACACACACACACACACACACACACACACTAGTGTTCAGAGTGTGAAGAGAAACACTGTCAGCATGTGGAGATAAGAGCAGAACCATCTGTCTCTCCGTTACAAATAGCCTAAATGTGTGAAAGATGCTGTGTGGTTAATGGACTCGCGCAATGTGCTATTGTCTTCAAAAATAAGGGAATCTGGTGAGGTGTGTGACACACCATCAATCTGTCACACTCAGCATCTCTCACACTACTGATCAGCTTTTCAAACTGTGAGAGGGTCATCTGACTGAGCCGTGTTTAACCACGAGCCACACAAACCTCAACGTTGCTTCCTAACGGCCGTGTTCTTCTGTCGCGTCGCTGACTGGATTTGGAAAAACAAGGCGTTGTCTCACTGAACGTCTGCAGAATTAAACTATAACTGACCAGGCAGAGATTTACAGACCCTTAAAACACAAGAATAAATCTAAGAAATTACACTTTTTATCTTAATACTGGCTCAGGAATGACCTTCAAAACCTCAGTTCAGCATTGATGCAAGGATCGGCTTCTCTAACAAGCCTTTTACTCCCAGCTTTTATCATGCCTGTTTTATTGAAAACGAACAGGACAATTTAGGAAGACTAAGAGAAAACGAACCAATTAAAGGCTGACTAATACCATAGAGGTGGATTTTTTCATTTCTGAAGCAGACGGTGTGGTCTGGAGTTAAAAGACGGTTGAGGAATTTAGAGATTCCTTTCAAACTCTTGGACTTGAGTCCCAAGCCAACACAAAGCGTATGGAGAGGAGAATGGTAGGAAAAGAGATGGTGGTGATTTATACATCAACGGAGTACAACTTGGCCAAAAACAAAAGTTATCTTGTCAAACATGAGGCATGCTACCTGAGAGATTCGGCCATGCGCCGCAGATCTTCATTCTGTTGCTTGAGTCGCTCCAACTTGGCCAAGATCTTGGAGAGCTCCCTGCTGGACCGCTCTGGGTGCTCGCTGTCCCTCACCAAATGACCACCGATGTAGAAGAGGAGCGTGCCCCAGGCCAAGAGCACCAGGGTAATCCAACGCCATGAACCTGCCCAGGGCCGCATGCTTCGGCCACACCCACCAAAAATGCCTTGTGGTGTGCCTGTCCAATCCTCCGTCCTGCCTGGATGCGCACGCACGCGTGTGTGCTCCGTCACCAAAAATGCCAAACTACTAATCTTTGCACTGGCATCGTTGCAAATGACAGATGAAAGGGTAATGAGTGTGCCAGTGGCTGAGGGGAAGCTATTAAAAAGCAAGGAGAGCTTCTCGAATGATCCACCAGCCAGTCTTTAATGCTAAAGCATGGCTAGCTGCTTCCAAAGGCAGTATTCTGATGGCCTTAGTGGTGTCTTCTCCCTCCACCCAGCTCCGTGTTGTCCAGTCTCTCCAAGTGTGCAGCACCTTTCCCCTCCAGACCTGCACGAGTCCCGGTTTATTCACGCTGCATCCTGTACAATCACAAAGGAGAAGTGTGTCAGGTCAACTCACTAGGTGATTTTGATACGCAAACAAGCTCGGAAAGTATTTGAAGACTTGCAAATACTTCCTAAGCTTCTTGGTCAAATAGGAGCTAATAAAACCAATTCTCCTGAAGAGAAACCAAAGCAAAGAGACAGACAGCGCTCTTCGGAAACGGTGCTCAGAAGAGCCGAGATGCTGCTGACTGGTCTCGACAGAAGCCTGTCTCAGCAGCCTACAGGATTGATCAGCATGACACTACAATTTACATTTACACAGTGATGTGCAGTCCCTAAGCTGTGCTGTCGAGATGGGACACGGATGTTCCACTTGCTGCATCCTGCCTGTTTGCACATTACATAGTACACTCTTGTACTCGTGCAAAAACCAAGTCTCTGAAAAGCCACACATGCAAACACAAAAGCAGCCACAGTATAAAAAAAAACAACATCTTTTATTCCCTCCCAACCACACCTTCCCCCAACCACAACCCACTTCCAACACCTTATCCCTCCATCGTGGTTAAAGCGCAATGCTTAGTGAATTTAGTCGACTAAATTCTACAAAATCCTTAAGCCTTTCCACGTTCCCAGACACCCACCGCCACCTTAGTAAGCTCTGTGACAGAACGCAACATTGTCAAGGTGATACAGTGAACTAACAGAGCAGAATGGGGAGGGGGGAGAAAGAAATCCCCTGATCATCAGCTCCCTTCATCCCAAAGCAGCAAAAAAGATGGTGATGGATGCGTGCCGGGTGTAGGAAGCAACCTTCGCTGTCAACCCCCCAACAAAACTCCGCCGTACAACCGAGAACAAACGTGTGATTGGATGAAGACTGGCAGATGTGTGTGTGTGTGTGTGTGTGTGTGTGCCATCATCACAGCACACTAGAATAATGCCAAGAATCTTTACATGAGTGGCACCAATTGGGATGGGTGTGATTGACATGCTGCAGTGTCTCTGGGGTTTCTGTCTGTGAGTTTTCAAAACAGGGGAGGATGTTGCTGCTGGCGTTCGCCCGGCAGCAGAGAAATAGGTTAACAGCAGCTCGTATTTACCTTGGTAGTCAGGTTGATATGTAGGACAGTAAACGGTGCCATGATATGAAACTAGAGTCGGCTCAGGTGTCAGTGGTGAAAAGTGTCCAGTAGGGAGCAGCTGAGATCAGTGAGATAAAGAGAACTATTCGGTTTCGTCGTTTTGAAGAAAACTGAAACAAAAATCAGAGCGGATGTTCCTTCCTTGCCTGTGCTGTCGTAGGAACAAACCTGAGCTGACGCACGGGAAGCTCCTCTTTATGCATGCAGCACAACAAAGTGCTGAGCTGTGTTTTATTATGGAAAATAAGAGGTGCGAGGGGATGGCACTCCCCTAGCTAATGCATGATTGGGACTTCACTAAAAGCCGAGGAGACTAAACTCCTGCCACTGCGTTTGAGGAACCATAATGAGGGCCGAGTGCAGCAGACTAAAGCTGAAACTTGCAAAACTGCTCAAAGATCACATCTGGTTTGAGATATTTTGTTCTAAAAGTTAACGCAGAACTTTTACAGACAACGCAAAAAAAGAGGGTTTTGTGGGCAAAAGGGTGGAATGTCTTAAGCTCCATATCAACCCGACACAAACTTAGTTTTCGAACTTCCACTGAAGCATTTGAGTCCCATAACTTTATCAAAGTGCTTTATTTATTTGCCATTTTTAAAGCAAACTATAAAGTAATGTATAATAAATACATAAAAGAAGTCAACCCAGTTAAATATGACCGCCACAGTTCCATCCACCATAACAGTAAATGGCTATTTTACATGTTTTGAGCAAAGCGGTGTGGACGTAGCTGAATCATTCATGTACTATCACATCTGCAGTGTATCCTAAAGAGGTCATTGTCCACGGGGGGTGTGAGGGGTTCTTGGTCCTATCAGGCAGCATTTAAAGATATGGTTCACTCGTTTAGTCAATATATTTACAAAACGGTTTTGAATGAAGGCAAGGATGACTGCGAACCTTCACCAGCAATCAATCAATTTATTTGCGGTGGTCCCTAGCAGGAATGACCGCCTTGTAAGTCATACTCTGGGGAAAAAAAGCTCAGTTGCATCTGTTTCAGGAAGTACAAGTCAGTTGAAGGAGAAAGTAGCTTCAGACAGCAGGAATTGGATTCTGATATTTGGACATCTTGCCTCGGATTGGCTAACATCAACTTGACTCTACCACTGACTCCATTTGATTTGCAAAGTTGACGTTTTATCTCCACAAATAACACAAGCCTGGAGGACTTCTGCTGTGCGGTGGAGATGGTAATGGTTAGCAGGGTTTCCCCCAGAAAACAAGTTAAGCCTGGCGGACCGGAGCGTCAGGGCAGGTGGGGGTGAGGGGTAGGTTGGTGTATGAATTCCGAGTTCCGTTGCTTGTCCGTTACAGCGTGTGTGTGTGTGTATGAAGCGGACGGTCCTTTCCGTTGCTTGTCCGTGACAGCGTGTGTGTGTGTGTGTATGAAGCGGACGGTCCTTTCCGTTGCTTGTCCGTGACAGCGGGGGGTGGGGGGGATGGTGCGTGCACATGCACGTGCACAAGATCTGCTGCTGTTTCTCACCAGTATCAGCTGATGAAGGGCCCTACTTTTGTTTCACTGCCATGCGCCGTTCGTGTCAGCGGACACGGTAGGGTGGGGGGAGGGCGGGGCAGGGCATGACGCTTAGCCTGGTGGGTGCCAAGCAAAGCCTGGTGGGCTGCCAGGCTTATAAAGAACTGGGGGTAACCCTGGATTGGCTTTTACTAGATAGCTAAGACATTCTCTGCCGTTTCCTGGAAGCGAAACCAACAACAGCCTCCCCCGTCGTAAGTTAAGATGGGTAAGTCCATGAATGTTAACTCAGTGTGACAGAGTTTTCCATCAGAAGCTAATGCAGGAGATAGGTGTAGGAGACTGCATGAAAAACTCGTGACTGATTATAATCAGAAATGTTTATTAAATTATTTTTTAAAAGGAACGTACACATTTGTTTTTTTTTTCATTTCCAGGAAAATACAACTATGCAACTATTGAGCCCACACTGAGCATCGCTGTGTCAATTTTGCATCTGTTTACCAACTGCCACAAAGGCTGGTATAGTTGGAGCTATATATTTTTAGCCTGGATATCTAGACAGACCATAGCAGAGGCAAAATGATCTAGCCACACTCCACTGGAACCTCAGCAAGCTCAAACAGTCCTGGGTCTTGCCAATCCCAGTGCTGTATTGGTTTGATGGACTGGATGATACTGCGACTGAGCGAAACAACAAAGATGACGACACTCATTTGAAACAGCTTTTGCATCAACTTTGGACTATTTAGACTTTAGGTCAAGAGCAGACAGAGGTTCTTGAGTCTTCTTTTTAAGAAAAATAACACATTAGCATTTTCTTCTACGGTGTATGGTAGACCCCCCATTGACTGACGTCTGTAGCGGTGAGTATGTCATTCAATTCAATTCAAATTCAAATCAAAAATACTTTATTAATCCCAGAGGGAAATTGATTAATGTTGTCCAATAACATGCAGAGATTATCTGAAAGGAATCTAGGGATGCAAGGTATTAGGAAAAGCTGCGATATGCGATGACAATGATTTCTACGGGTAATTTCTACAAATATTAATCAAAATGTAGTTGAAAATGAATGAAATGATACCCTGTTGTTGAAAAATATTGGCAGCTTTGTAACATACAACCATAAAAATCTGGTCTAAAATTCATGGGAGAGGGTCCAAGTCCTGGACGATGCCATATTAGATGCTATGTTTCGTTCTACGGAAGCCCTTGAGGACAACATGCATTTACCGATTTGTAACAACTGGTTACAAAATTTCACCAATCATAAACTTTGTTGTTTTACACATTTACCTCTTCATATGCTGCCAGTGGTGAAAGGGAGTCTGGTATTCTTGTCATTTTGCTGAAGTTTGCCCTCCCCGGGGCTTTATGACCCTAAAAGGCATCTGTTGGTAAGGTCTTGCTCTAACACAAAAATACAGCATTGCTTGCTACGATCTAGGTATCTACTGCCCCCTATCGCCAAGAAAAATACAAACTGTCACTTTAATAAAAGGAGCACCAATGTGATTTTTTTGGGCCAATACTGACATTAATATCACTGTTATGGCCAATAACCAATATATATATGTATATATATATATATATGTATATGTATATATATATATATATATATATATATATATATGTATATATATATATATATATATATATATATATATATATAAACATATATATACACACATGCTGACATTTATGCTTCTGATATCAGCAAGTTTTGAATAGACTGAAAATTACGCAAGCTGAAATTTTGAAAGGAGTTACGCTTCTATGATGATTACCATCACTGTCACAGGAGTAAACAATTACACATAATCACCCCCACACCTTCTGAAACAAATGCACAAACGGAAACAAGATGGGAAAATATTGGTTGTTAATATCGGCCCAGTATTGCTCATCATACCTATACCGATAAGTTAATAAATGACTAACATCTGCCGATATTGATGCGGATATATCGCGCATCCCTAGTTTAATTTTTAACATGGAGTTTGCACAGTGACTATATTCAGTGGGCTTTACTTTAGCAATGTATATGAAATTTTACAGTATGGGTGCTGGAAGAATATTTGACTTCGTTGACCAAAAACATGTGCTTTGATGTGGACCAATCATTGACCCATTGCATTACTCAAGTCACTTTGAGCTAGGAAAGAATGTATTCTCAACAAGGACCTAAAAAATACTCATAAAATTAATCATGGAAACAAAGCCATGCATGAAATGTTAAAACAAAATGTGAGTGTTTGTATAGGAAGGTGTGCTGTATCCTTAGCTTAGCTGAGTGGAATGATCTAGAGTCTAGATCAGGGGTGCCCAATCCTGGTCCTGGAGGGCCGGTATCCAGCACGTTATAGTGGTTTCTCTGCTCCAACACACTTGATTTAGTGGTT